GCTGCTGCCCCGAACACCCCTCAGGAGCAGGGGGAGATGGAGAAGCCCTCAGGGGCGATCAGGGCTGGCAGCCGCCGCTCGCACCCACTGATGGTGCCAAGTGATAGGGACCTGTGCAGGGCACTGGCAGCGGGTGCAAGTGGCGGCTCTGGTGCCAGCTGCAGGTGTGAGCAGGGCCAGCACTGGCAGTGGGTGCCAGCGCCGGCAGCAGGTGTGAGCACCAGGTGGGACTGCAGCACACGGGAGCAAAGAATTTTCAGTAACCACCAGAGGCTTGCCCCAATGACAGTGACTGGTGCCCCACCTTGGTCTGGTGCCCCCACTCACTTGCTCCACCATCCCACCACGACCAATGCCCACCATGTTCTACACACGCCCCCTGGTGGTCAGCACACGTCATAGTGACTGGTTATTTGGTTGTTCTGCTGTTCAATCTATTTGCATATTAGCCTTTTATTATATCCTATATAATAAAACCCTAATATGCAAATTGAATGGCGGAACAACGGGTCACTATGATGCACACTGACCACCAGGGGCAGACACTCAACACAGGAGCTTCCCCCCAGTGGTTAGTACATTCCCACAGGGGGAGGTCTGCTCAGCCACAAGCTGGGCTGACAGCTGCAAGTGCAGCAGCGGTGGCGGGAGCCCCTCCTGCCTCCTCGGCAGTGCTAAGGATGTCCCCCAAGGGCTCCTGGGCTGCCAGAAGGATGTCTGACTGCCAGCTTAGGCCCCTTCCCCCGGAGAGTGGGCCTAAGCCGGCAGGTGGACATCCCCTGAGGGGTCCCAGACTGCGAGAGGGCACAGGCTGGGCTGAGGGACCATTTCCTGAGTGCACGAATTTTCGTACACCAGGCCTCTAGTAAAGTATATTTCCTCAAGAAAAGACCTTGGCAACTATGGAAATATTTTAATAATATTCAAAAATGTTCACATACTAGTACTATTATTGCAAAACTTTTCTCCTTAAGTTTCTACTCTCTTTTATTAGCACAACAAAAATTCCTACACTTTTTGATCTTGAATATGGTTCCCCAAAACAAAACATCAGCAGTAAAACAACAGACATCAGTGTAGAATTTAGAAGTCCATTTGATATATATAAAATGAAGTCATGTCATCATTTCCCAAAAACTAGGAACCTAAGACCCAAAAAAGAAAAAAAGAATAAATAGAAAAAGAATAAAACAACACTTTACACAATTAAAATGATAATAAAGTGAGCCACTCACTCTCTGGGAGCCTATAAATGGCACTTAACCCAAATATCTACCTCCCACGATGTGAAAAGTCCCTTTCTAAAATCCATGACAATGGTCCCCAAATTTCGGCCTACAAAACATTGCCAGCCCAGGACTAAGTTTTCAATAGTCAGGGGCAAAATATGAAAAATGAAGATCATAAAGAAATCATAAAGTAAATTTTAAAATCTACAAAAACTTAGCAAACTCTGCATGCTTATTTTTGATCTTCACTGTTAGTTCCATGACCAAACAAAAGGTGGAAATAGAAATGGAGAAAATTTGGTACAAAATAAAAGATAATTCAATGCCCTGCATGGTTAAGACATCTTTGCCTCCTAGGAAAGGGAGTTGTGTACAAGTTGGAGGAAATGTAAAGCAATACATTTGAGTTAAGTTGTACAAAATTATAGTTTTGTAGAAAAAAAAATCAAACATTACCAATTTCATCCGTTTCAACCAATGTAGTAATTTATTTTTTTCAAGATCTCAAGAATAGAATGACCACACACTTGCAGTACCAAAAACTGTTCCTGTTCCTGTTATTTCCTTCAAGACTTTAAGAGCAACAATGCACACGTGAATTTAAGAGTCTGAGTCTTAGCTATCATTTTACAATCCCAACGCTCTCAGCACATTCAGACCTAAGACTTTATGTCAACCACATTTAGAAAAGTTTCAAGAGTGATTCTGAAAAGTACAGAAAGCAACCATATAAGTTAAAAACCTAACATTTTCCCTCTAATTCAATCAAACCCTTATGAAGCCACTAACATAATAAAAGAAAGGTGTTTTTAATTTTTATCCCCTATATTACAGTAAAAGTCAATGCCAATGGGGCTCCTAATATAATTTATGGGCCAAAAAATAAGCTAACCTGAGAATGTTTGACTATTACTACACAGCTGAGTGCTAGATAAAATATCCATAACATCTGAATGCCAAAAACATCTAATGTTTTATTGTACACATAATGCAGGAAAACATTTGCTGTGATCTATCAACAAACATTCCAAGCCAATCTCCTTAGTAATCTGCTGAAGTTGCTGTTTTAAACAAACAGAAAATATAACTGTGCTTAAACAAACAGAAAATGTAACTGTTCTCATTCTGAAAGTATGATATTACCTCGTTAATAAGAATTGATACAAAAAGAAATCATTTTATAAAAATTAATAACATTTGGAGCATGACATGCAACAGTCATAAAACAGCATTTGTTTTCAAAATTGGCAGAGAACAGAAGTTTTACGGAAGGGAAACGCTTATTGATTAGGGATGTTCCTATACTTCACTATTTTGCTTTTCAATGAAGGCTAGCACGGCGCATGAGGACTATATAGTATCCTCTCCTATTATAATTTCAAAGAATCAAAGACCTTTAGAGTTTGAATGAAACTTTGGGATCACTAATAATCCAACCATTTCACCATACAGAGGAGTAAACATCTGATGAGCCTTAGAGATTCCATGATTTAGCTCTCAAAGGAGCAGCCATTAACAGCCAAGGAGAGACTAGAAGACAGGCAGGCCTCAGGTTCCTACCATAAACCAGAGTCAAGTGCCCATTACTATCCAGCAAAACAAATAAATGGGTGCTTTTAATATTTAAAATGGAAATTTCATTTCATTTAATATTTAAAATAACATTTGTAAAGTCTGAATCAATAAATGACTTCATTATTACATTTGGTCAATATATCCTTAATAAAACCTTGAAGTAAAATAAATAAAATGAAGACCAACAAATCTATACCAATACTCTTAGAAAGGAAGGAGCTATGCAGTGGTTCCCAAACTTATTTGGCCTACCGCCCCCTTTCCAGAAAAAATATTACTCAGCCCCTGGAAATTAATTTTTTTTTAATTTTAATAGCAGTTACTCATCGCCCCCAAATGCACCTGTGGCCATCACCGCCCCCCTGGATCGCTGCAGCGCCCACTGGGGGGCGGTAGCGCCCACTTTGGGAATCACTGAGCTATAGCATGCCAGGGGCAGGAGGGCATACTTCTCCCCAAATATCTATCTACCAAAGGTAAAGTGAAACAGCCGATTCTAGACAATGTACCTTGTATGAGGAGTAAGTTGAAAGTGCCCAAGAGTCAGCTTGTGCACCAGAAATAGCACTTACAGTGACTATTGACACAGGGAATATCAGGCAATCCCAGAAGAAAACAAAAATCTCCAACAAAGTGAAATCAGTGGGTAGTTCTAGTTTTTGGAATATACACTGGTTTAGTATTCAACTTCATCATAAACATGAGAGCTTTAATAAAAGGAGTGTGAAACAGAGAAAACCATTGGGAAAGTAATCAAACTGTGTCAGACTTGAGTTCCTGAGATTTTCCTTACTTAATTGCACTTAAATGTATACATTTTATTCTTTAAAATAACTGAAAACCTAGATTAAATGGGTTAAAATAATGGTCAAACACCAATATAATCTCTAATTAAAGCATCAATTTCCATCTCTTCCATCTTTGTATTTAAATATTTAATCCATTACTAAATGAATTATAATATTAATAAAGATAGACTGTCCAAAAACTAAATTGCTGTTACATAGCCTGAAATATTCTCCTAATCAAACTCTCAAGGCATGCAAACATTACAGAGACAAGGATCAGGGTCTAAGCTGTCTTTAATTTCAAAGAGATGCTTAACAGCTCATTACAGTGTTGCACTTGCTGAATTGATGAGTTATAAAAAGTTATCCAGACAGCGCTCAGATTACAGAAAATCAGAGCCATAACCAAGGTTTTAATCTGAACTTGTCAATTTTCAAACTTGTAGGTGGGTCACCTCTGCACTTGGGTGAACGCAGTATGGATGGGTACCTGCATCTTTCAATCTTTCTGTATAACTATTCTAAAAATCATAAAATTATAGTTGAAGAGTAACAAATAGAAATTTAGTTCAATGGTGATGAGCTCAGCATATTACCACAAGTTATTTCAGGATAGTTGAAGTGCCAAAAATCCACTCATGAACCTGTAGGTTAGGAACCCTAATAATTAATGACCAGTCCTCATATTTTACACAAAAGGAAACTGAAGCCAGAGAGAGAACTTGTCCAAAGGCAAAAACTTATAAGGGACAAAGCCAGGACTCCAGTCAGAGAGTTTACTGTCCATGAGTCAACCAGATTCCTCTTCAAAGTGACTTCAAAAAGATTTGGCAATGCTTCTGCTAGATGCCCTGGAGGCTTTAACAGGCAGTACTTACTTTTACTTTAAATTTCTGACTTGGAATGAGAAAGTATAAATGTGATAGTAGTCCTATGATTAAGAACTATTAGGGTAACTTTCTCGTCTTATCCTACCACCTATCCTCACACAAGCCCAAACCCAGGCATCAAGTCCAATTGTCCTCTGCCTATGCCAAGTCAGCTATGGTTTGGTTTTTTCTCTAGTATATCCTTAACTAAGGATACAAGCTTGTAAGAGTCCAGCTTTGTGTGTCTGAGGGACCTATGTGGTCTTAGCTCTAATTTCCCTACATCCACTCTAGTCCTGGCGTATTTCCCCCAAAAAGCCACAGCATTAGCTCTCCCCTTCCAATCTGGATGTCATTTCTCTCAGAATCCCTCTGGAGTTCCCTCATTGCTTGAGACCTCAGCTATCACCCTCCTCCTGTGCTTTGCCACATACCAGGTATAAAAGGATATGGAAATACTGCATGTAGTTTCTTACTCAAGATGGCGTTCATAAATTTAAAAGATTCAAGTTAAAATCCTGAAAACATCACAAGCCTACCTTCGTCACTAGTTGCCTGCTGCTTCACCAGAGTCATTGGGGATCTTGCTGGAGGCTTGCTCAGTGGATGGCGCCAACTTTTAGCTGTTTTGGTTTCTCCCTCTATTCTCTGATTACAAAACAAAAAATGGGGGAGAAACACAAGCAGTTAAAAACCTGTTTTAAATAAAACAATGATTTATAACAATTTAATTATGAAGAACTCTTGTACTTTTTTTTACCTCGTAGGAAATTAGCCCTTTTATTAAAAAAAATATATATATATAAACCTTTAAGTAAAAAATAGGAATCCATTCTATTAGCTATTTTACCAAAATTCCATTAACTATCCTTCCACTTCATATTAAAATACTATCTGTATGTAGTTCAGGGTAGGCTTATCAATCCAGCAATAAATTTAGCAATTAGCAAGTTTTCAAACGTTCTTTAAAACTAACTTAAATTTAGGGTTATATATTCATAACAATATAGGACTGTGGCACATGGTCACATCCATGCTGGTCAAATGAGAATATATAGCATATTATTTTGCTTTCTATCCACACAGAAAACCACACTGCCAAATTGAGCCCATACACTTCCTTTTATTCAGACATGAATCATCACTTCTCTGAGGATTAAACACGAAATCAAAAGTGGTTTTTTCCAATATGATAAATTACTGTCATCTTGAAATCACTTACCTTTTTCGTTGTTGTTAATCCTCACCCGAGGATTTTTTTTCCCCCATTGGTTTTTAGAGAGAATAAAAGGGAGGGGGATGTGGAGGAGAGAAACATTGATGTGAGAGAGACACATTGATGGGTCGCCTTCCGAGCACCCCAACAGGGGCCAGGGAACAAACCTGGAACCCAGTACATGTTTTTGACCAGGAATCGAACCCTCGACCCTGTTTTGCTTGGGCTGATGCTCTAACTACTGAGCAACACAGGCCAGGGCTGAAATCACTTAAATTTTATAGAAAATCTTTTGTCCTGGGTTTTGTAAACTACATTTTCTTTTCAAGGGTAGAGAAAAAAAGGCTATGCATACCCTGACATCTTCCAGACAGAACCCACTTACAAGCTTTTTTGCCCATTCAATCCAAAAAAAGAAAAAAGTAGGGAGACTCCCATAGAGAGTTTGAAATTACTAGGTTTATATCAACAGTTCACTGGGGGAAAAGGACTCTCAGAAATTTTCCTGTTAGCTAAAACAGCAATGGCCAGAAGTGGAGAAACTACACTGACATCTGACAGCAAAACAGGATTTGCTGAAAAAACATGTGAACACATTCTAATCGAAGCTAGGAGAAGGAAAAGTGAAACAGGACCTGTGGTTTGGGAAATTATAACTTAGTCAACAACAAAATATTTATTAAACCCTTACTATAGGCCACACTGTTCTAAAAACTGGGTTACAACAAGAAAAAGTACACTAGCCCCTGCTTTCAAGGAGTGTGCTCTATAGAAGGGAGGAGCCTAGACAATAAACAAGTAAAAAGTAAATCTCTACCAGGTACTAATAAGCAAATATGCAGTAAAGAAAAAATAAAATAGGACAAAGAAATGGAAGGAGATAGGGCGGGGCTATTTCCTACAGGTCAACGGAGAAGGCCTTTCAGGTGAGGAGACAATGGAGTGAACCCTTGAGTGCAGTGAAGGAGCGATGCACTCAGGTCTCTGAGGAAGGAGTATGTTGGTCAGCAGGAATAACAGGTAAAGTGGTAACATATTTGGCATATTCCATGGAGCCCAATTATAGACAGAGAGACAATATTCAAAATTAACCTCGCCCTAACCAGTTTGGCTCAGTGGATAGAGCGTCGGCCTGTGGACTGAAGGGTCCCAGGTTCGATTCCGGTCAAGGACATGTGCCTTGGTTGCGGGCACATCCCCAGTAAGGAGTGTGCAGGAGGCAGTTGATTGACGTTTCTCTCTCATCGATGTTTCTAACTCTCTATCCCTCTCCCTTCCTCTCTGTGAAAAATCAATAAAATATATATTGGGAAAAAATTAACCTAGTATTTCTTGAGAAGATTTACTACAGCTGATTGCTACCAGAATACACATAGTATTACAGTGGATAGTAAGAAACACTGCTCAAAACCACACAAACATGAGATGGATGTGTATTACTTAGAGGGGCTGTCTGACACCATGGTGTAAGAAAAGAGTACTAATCCTGCCCTGGCTTGTGTGGCTCAGTTGGTTGGGTGTCACCTATGGCAGGGTTGCCAGTTCAATTCCCAGTTGAGGCACATACCCGGTTTGCAGGTTCAATCCCTGGTAGGGGTGTGTACAGGAAGCAACCTATCCTTGTTTGTCTCTCAAATACATGTTTCTCTCTCTCTCTCTCTCTCTCTCTAAGTCAATAAAAACATTTTTTAAAAAGGAATATATAATCACAAATAAAATGATAAAGGTTCTTAGGTCAAATTAGAAAATTGATTTATATATTATTTAACATTTTTAAACTACTTATAAGTAAAATATTCCAAGTGGATTTCCTTATCTAATCTCCCTTGCTACTCAAAGATACAAAAAGGACTGTGGTGATTGAAATGAAAAGGAGGAATGAAGAAGTGGGTCTGTTCAGGGGCCCACTCTATCAGCTCCCACAATTGAGGCTCTTCTTACTCATCCACTTGAATTCCTTCATCAAGTTATACAGGTCAAAGAGGTTAGTGAATTCTGATAATCACTATACATAGAGTGTGTGATTGCCTAATCCACTCACAACCTTATGGTCACAGCAACAGTTTATGCTGAAACCATATGACATTAACATATGAGAACATATGAAAAACAGGGCGGTCCTATGCAAACAGATAGAATGGAGAGCTTGGTAATCAAGAGGGGTCTTGAGTTTTCCAAGAGGTAAATGGCCTGTTTCTGGTAGTGGGCAGGGCCAGAAAGGTCAGCCTGGCCCTGGAATCAGAGTCCATGAGGAACATATCAGGCAGAGGCATGACTAGGGGAGTCTACTGTTAAAGTAGAGGCTATGGGACTTAAAGGAATTAACTGTTGGCAGGAGGAGATCAAAGCCCTGAAGGTAACTCATCTCCAGTCTGGTTAACATTGCAGGTAATAAAACCACTCTGTATCTTGACTGTATCAATGTCAATATACTGTGATATCTTCGTATAGTTTTCCAAGAAGTCACTATTGGGGGAAACTGGCTACACAGGAGCTTTCTGTACTATTTCTTATAAGTACACTAGAGGCTTGATGGATGAAATTCGTACAAGAGTAGGCCTTCCTTCCCCCAACTGCCGGCACGGGCTTCCCTCTGGCACCCAGGACCTGGGCTTCCCTCCGGCTGCCAGCAGGCACCCAGGACCTGGGCTTCCCTCGCAGCCCAGCTTCGTCCAGACAGTCGTCCGGAAGGATGTCCGGTCTAATTAGCATATTATGCTTTTATTATTATAGATATGAATGTATAATTATCTCAAAATAAAGAGTTTAATTTTAGAATAATTTAAAAATAAAATTAAGCTCCAACATGTGGCAAAAATTTCTATGCTTTCTGAATTATCACCATGGGAGCCAGAGCTCACAGAAGGCTTACCTCCCAATCATGGAAGAAAATATGATGAAGACCCATACATTGTGAAATGTTATTTCTGGCCTATAGCAAGATTCAGATGCACAGCACAGCTTTCAGAAAGTCCTCTCATCACACAATAAATACAGTAAAAACAGACATTGCCACATACACTGGGGACTTTGAAACCATTCCTCTCTCCATTGGGGACCGCTGGGACTTCCCCAGGTTCAAGGCCACTCACACGGCTTTCCACATTACTGCCCTCTCCTTCTGTCAACCAACTGTTACTCTCAGGCACTGAGGAGCACGACTCTGGTAACTTTGGCCATGGATGTTTGGGTGGGTCTGATTCCTTGGGGGTCAAATGACCAACAGATATAGAATCAGCAGTTTCTCTGGTGTTCGAAGATGGAATTATGGCATAGGCTTGGTCATCCTTAGTTTTTATTTCCTCCTTCACAGATGTACTTAAGCAGCTGTTTCCTGAGGAGTAAAACAAAAGACTTAATAAATCTTGCATTGTGTTATTAGTGAGTACAATTGTTAAACTATTCTCAACTAACTTTCTATCTTCCAACTTCCCCTGTACTAGTAAACTTCCACAAAGGTAGAAAAGGTCAAGGTAGCACCATGCAGCCTTCATAGTTGTTAAGGTGAGACCTTGCGGTTTGGCAAAAGAATATACTTACTGACAAAATAAGGGATTAAAAAGAGGTTCTACTACAGACAAAAGCCAGGACAACAACAATAATTATCCAAAGCAATAGCAATTTGAAATATTTCTAAAATAAGAATTATATTCTAATATATGATGCTAACAGGTGCTACTGAGGAAACATTCCAGTTCAGAGGATGTATGTAAAGAGCACATGTAAGGCTGAGTAGATACAGTAAAAGTTATTTCTTACACTAATGCTGTATCATACAATGATCATAAGCACTTCTCCACTGCCATCTCTATTCACCCTTCTCCCTCCCTTACACACACGCACACATTATTTCATCTGTCACATACTAGCTGCGGTGCTGAACCTAGACACATCTTCTACTTAAGTGTTCTGCCAGGTCTCTAAACCTGAGGTTAAAATGCAAGGAAATGTGTAATAAAACTGTGTGCCCTTGGCCTAAATGACCCAGTAATTAAACTATGGTAACAGACAATAAACAAACAGCCATATGTTTTGCATAACCATCTTCTCTGCACTGCTTGCTGCTGTTCCCTTCTCTGCCTGCTCCACTTTCCTACCTCCTATCCATTTATCTCAAGTCAATTCAATACCACCTACTCCAAGAAACACTGCCAGTCCAGCCTCCTGTCTCTTCAGGATCTTTCCCTGGTATACCAGCAACATTCTATGCAAACTTTAACATGGCACTTACCACACTAAAGTATAAACTCACTGAAGAAAGGTCTATGATTTAAACTCTATTAATAAAGACATTTCAAGAGCAAAAGGTAATAAGCATAGAGAAGCATGAAGGTCAGATGAATTAGGACTATGATAAGGACTTTTTTTACCCTATAAGTGGAATATGAATAAAAAAGAAAGAAGTGGGGTAAGACCTAAGCTACACAAGACAAAGGAGCCAGCGCATGCTCACCCTCTGGGGAGTAGCCCCACCAGTTCCTTTCCCCTCTCCTTGCCCACAGGCATGCACCTCCTAAACCCTAAAGGACCCCATGAGGCTTGCAACCAGGTGAGCAATGGGCAGTGGCCCCTTGTACCACATTAACCCCTGAACCTGATCCCAAGGCCCCCTTTTCTCTAATTGCCCAGAGAGCTAGGGCAACCCAGCCTAGGCTCTCCATTGCTTCTTCTATGCTAAGCCCTTTCTCATTCTACTGTCCCCAGCTTTAATGAATGTTCCCACATAGTAAAAAATAAATAAATAAATAAGCTAGTAGTTTTCAAAGATCACTGCCATATAGAGAACTGACTAGCAGAGGTTTCTAGAGTGGACACTGGCAAAACAGGAAGGAAGCAATTTCTACAATAACCCAGGCGAGAGATAACGGTGTCTTAAAGGAGAAAGCAGGGCGGGGGTTGGGGAGGCAATGGCTGGATTCGAAGAGTCTACGACTGAAAGACAGACTGGTGGAGGGGTACAAGAAGAAGATAGGAATTACCAATAAGCTCAATTAGTAAAAGGACAAATGCCCCAACATATATTAAAGCGGCAAAGTGTTAAAGCAGTTTCAGAGATATATGCAGTTTCAGGGAAAAGGTCTCAAAAAAGTTGAGACTTGCAGATGATGGCTTTAGGATAGAGGAACAGCCAAGGGACTATACATACCATTTCCCAAGACTAAGTAACATTTGTTGTTTTTATTTTTTTTTTAATTCTTTATTGTTGAAAGTATTACATATGTCTCCTTTTTCCCCCATTGACCTCTCCCTGACTGCTCCCGCCCCCAGCACAGGCCCTCACCCCCCACTGTCTTTGTCCATTGGTTATGCTTATATGCAAGCATACAAGTCCTTTGGTTGATCTCTTACCCCGCTACCCACCCCTGCCTTCCCTCTAAGGTTTGACGGTCTGTCTGATGCTTCTAAGTCTCTGAATCTATTTTTTTTAATATATTTTATTGATTTTTTACAGAGAGGAAGGGAGATGGATAGAGAGTTAGAAACATTGATGAGAGAGAAACATCGATCAGCTGCCTCCTGCACACCCCCTACTGGGGATGTGCCCGCAACCAACATACATGCCCTTGACCGGAATCAAACCTGGGATCCTTCAGTCCACAGGCCGACGCTCTATCCAGTGATCCAAACCAGTTAGGGCTCTGAATCTATTTTTGTTCATCAGTTTATGAGTGAAATAAGCCAGATCAAGAAAGATAAGTATCATATGATCTCATTCATTTGTGGAATTTAATAAACAACATAAACTGTTGTTCTTTTTTAAAATTTATTCTTTATTTTTTGTCTTAAAATTAAGTCAAAAACTAAGAATTACCTATATTTGGTTTTCTCTGTTCCATATGAGCTCAAGAGAAGCTTTCTAAAATTGTAGTGTACATTGTAAATTGAGTTGCACAAAAAATATTTTTTTCATTTTAGAATCTTTTTTTAAAAATATATTTTTATTGATTTCAGAGAGGAAGGGAGAGGGAGAGAGAGATAAACATCCATGATAAGAGAGAATCACTGATCAGCTGCCTCCTGCACACCCCTTACTGGTGATCATGCCCGCAACCCAGGCATATGCTCTTGACTGGAATAGAACCCGGGACCCCTTAGTCCGCAGGTCAAGGCTCTATTCACTGAGCCAAACTAGCTAGGTCATTTTAGAATCTTTTTTATTAAACCACACAGGACCTGCTGGCTGTATGTCTCACAATTCCACTCCATGTAGCAGGGGTGCTCCTGACCTTCACAGCACTCCCTTAGCTTCCTGACTGAATTACCCCATAACTCAAGAAGGCTTCTTGGTTAAGCTATGTGGAAAAGTGACATATCTGTCCCAGTGAACACAGATCAAAGGCACAAGATCATCAACCACCTACTAGTTATATGTGAAAAAATCAGCCAGCTTCTCACCTGAGAGCCCGATATTATCTGATAGATTCTGGTCCAGCTGCATCCTCCTAGCAGAGGCCACTCCCTCTGAAGGTGCCTCTATGTTCTCCAGCTTCACTGCTGCTTCTGGCTGTTCACTGACCTTGATGTCGTCTAGGTCTGGGTCAGGGGTAGGGCCCTGTGCCCCATCGACTGCAGCTGACACTTCCTCATCCTCCTCATTCTTAGGCCGCTTAGAGTGAGAACTAGTGCACTGGAAGCTATTAACAAGAGAAGCTGTGGTCAGAGCAATGTTTGCAAAGAACAGGATAAAACATACCAATGCAAATGTTATTTTCACTTACTGAAAGAAGAAAAAAATTGATAGTTTTTTCAATTATTGTGCAGAGATTATCTTCACAATTAAAATATTAATTTTAATGTTGAAATCTTAAGTTTTAACAACAATTAACTAAAAATTAAAATTAAGCCCTAGCCAGTTTGGCTCAGTGGCTAGAGCATCAGCCTGCGGACTGAAGGGTCTGGGTTCCATTCCGGTCAACAGCACATGCCTGGGTTGCAGGCTTGATCCCCAGTAGGGGGCATGCAGAAGGCAGCCAATCAATGATTCTCTCTCATCATGGAAGTTTCTATCTCTCCCTCTCCCTTCCTCTCTGAAATCAATAAAAATATATTATTTTTTTTAATTAAAACAATGGTAAATAATTGATTATTAAATACTGTTGGGGGAAGTCTTTGTTAAAAGTTTATAACAATATTGAAAGAAATCTAAAAATAAAAAGAAAGTGAAAAATGATGACATGGGGGAAATCTAATCAATAAATCAAGTATTATTTAGGTAATGAGAAAAAAAGAAGAAAATGAGGAGAGCCCATAAAGCCATTGTTAAAATCTGTGTAGGTTTGCATTCCAAGGTGAACAGGTGACCACATTTCCCTGAATTTTGTGTAAGTCTTAAGTTTTCATTAAAATCATTAAAAATAAATGCCAAATCATCATTAGCTAAAGGAAATAAGAAGAAGGACGGTCAACTGTATATATTTGACGTTTATATCATCTTATTATTTTCAGAGTGGACACCATTTTTAATTTTTTCCTCTTTCAGTATTTTCCAGCAAGTCACTTGATAGCTTTGTCATAGATACCTTTTGTATATGACACAACATTTCTAACACTCATTTAAGAAAAACTGCAATTCAAATCAAAGCAATATGTATTTCAGTGCCCCCAAATACATACACATAGACACACAAACAGCACAAAAGAAGACAGGAAAGGCAGAGATCTGAGATAAAGGGGTAGCCTTGGACAACCTATGTAAATTGGCTTTGGCTGTTGCTGGTAGTGACAGTACTAGTACCAGCATCACCATTATCATGTGTACTGAGAACCCATGCACTGGCCTATGTAGAAAATCTTCACATTACTAAAAGGATAGTACACGTAAAGTTAGATGACTGACATCTCTTTGAGATTTCAATGAATCATTCCCTTCATCAGATTTCCCTAGATAGGGCTTTACTAAAGGGAGTGAGAGAACTATGATCAAGCCGTAAAGCTGAGCATAATCAACAAGCCCCTTAACATTAGCTTTTCAAACTAAGTGAGTAAAGTCCACTGATTATTTTAACCTGCCCAAGGCATTGCAAATCTGTTCCATGTCATGGATCTATGTCAACCCGAAAGGGCCACTGTGGTTAGTAACTAGGAGACCAGATCATACCTCTAAAGTATTATATTTTTTCTGACCATTAAAGAGCAATTCTCAACAAGATCTACTGGTGTTTCTTCTGAACTCAAGATTAATTACTGCCCCCTCCCACAGCAAGTGTCTTTCGTAATGTGGATTAACATGTTTATCAAAGGCATTGACTCTCTAAATCTGTGTTTCCCAAACTTTTTTTTAATGCAACACGTAGTAAGTTATACATTCTAGATGGTGACACAACACACACACATACACACATACTCACACATGTCATGAGTTAATACTTACCCTTCCCACACAGGAAGGACTATGATACTTTTTATTCTATTTTACTTCCTAATTTAAAAATATTGTTTCTAACCTACTAAATTGCTCTGAAAACTAACAGTTTGAAAATCACTGCTATAAACTATAGGGTGAAATAGAACACCTCAGTTTGAGTCCTGCTACTAATTCTGTGCCTCAGGGATTTCTCTCATAAAATGCGGAAGTTTGACTCCATGTTCTTAAGGTTCCTCCGCTCACTACCATTCTAAAATAGCAGAAAATAAATGTCAGGAAAAATAAAAGAGAATCAGAAAATGAGCATCAAAAGTGTGGGCAAAGATTTAAAATTACAGTGTTATTTTAGTTAATAGCAAAAAAACTGGAAACAAGCTACAGGTCCAAACACAGGGGATTAGTTAAATACATGCAGTCATTAAAAATCACGTTGTAGCAAATCATTTGATTACATTAAAACACTCACAAAACTGGTCATCAAATTGTTAATAGAGCAACGCCCCAATTTTAGAAAGGCATATAATACTATATGATATAGAATCAATATATATGTAAAGGATATATACAAAATGTTAACACTGGTTATCTCTGGATTGTGAGGTTATGAGTGATTTGGGATTCCTTCATTATTCTTTTCCTTATTTTACAAATTTTCTCCAATGCACAAATATTACCTTTACAATCTGAAAGAAAAACAATGAGTAATATTGGAGAGTAAAAATGTAATATAACTCTGGAAAACATCAAGAGCCTAAAAATGTTGCCTGAGGACCTGAGCAACATAACACATACCCTATTCAATGGGTTTTAAACTAGCTAGATGCCCATGACAGGTGTAAAAGCTTCTGAAATGGCCCTGGCCACGAAAATGGAATGTAGAATAAAGTTCACGGGGACAACCATGTTACAGAAACACCACATGCTTGGCTTTCTATCTCATAAAAGAATAAAACCAAGTGTATAAAATGGGGCAAAAAATAGGTATCCCGATGAGAAAATTAATATCAAATGAAGAAGAAAACTACTGAAGTCAGAAAGAAAATCAGTAGCAAAATGAAAAGGTTGGAAATCAAGCTACTGAAGTTAATAAAAATATGGAGATGAATAAAGAACACCACCGATACAACTTTAAAATACGTTAGTGTTAGAGATCCAAGAGGTTCTAGTATTGTTTTACTTGCCATGTGTAACAACTTCAGGAATATTCTCAAACACAAAATGCAATTCTTTTTACTTCTATTTATTTATTACATTTCTCAAGAATTAAAATATTTTGTCTCAAATTTTCAGTAAGATACTATGTAAACTTATGAGGAATAAATTTTCAGCGAAGCAAAAAGCCTTTGAGAATATCACATCATAACCCATTTTAACTGCATAAGTACAACTGTGATGGGGGAGGCTGGGACCGTTACCTCCTGGATGCTCTTATTTTCCTCCTCCTTTGCAGCCATGCTTTTACTTCAGGGGTGGTTTCCGGAGTAGGCTTTGTGTGATCAATGGTGTATATATCCTTTCCTTGTTTCCAAAGCTGGTATCTGTCCGGTTGAAATTTCTTCACAAAAATATCCATTGAAATTTTCACCATGTCATTCCTGCAGGTGCACTGAAACACAGAGGGGATGTTGTGCTTTAAACATTTCATAGCTACATGAAGTCACACTGAGTCCTACTTTAAATGTGACGCACAAGAATATTTAGTCACCACATAAATGAGGATGTTTTACATTTTCCAACATTCAGTGAGGGGTAAATTCAATTTCTTCTAAAGCAGCAGTTCTCAACCTGTGGGTCGCGACCCCTTTGGGGGTCGAACGACCCTTTCACAGGGCTTGCCTAAGACCATCGGAAAACACATATATAATTACATATTGTTTTTGTGATTAATCACTATGCTTTAATTATGTTCAATTTGTAACAATGAAATTGGGGGTCACCACAACATGAGGAACTGTATTAAAGGTCGCGGCATTAAGAAGGTTGAAAACCACTGTTCTAAAGGGAGGCAAGAACCTGCATATTCACACTTATAAATGGTAAAATAATATGCTCAAAGGCATGGTAGAGTTGATAGGGAACTGTGTACCAGGAACAACTAAAAGGAAAGTGCACTCATTCAAAAGCATGCCTGCAACAGAAGGATTAACCACTCTCCCTTCAAAAGGCTGTATAAGTGAGCTGAATGCTGTAAGGTCTGTGAAGCTGAAAACCTGGGTTCACAAACAGAAGTAGCCAATGAATGTGATTAGAATAATTAAACCAATGGGAAGAGGTAAATTTTCTTCAAGATAAATTTTAATCACATTATGTTTATTAACAAACATACTCTCAAAAAGTGGCCAACAATTAGGAACAAAAGAAGAGTCTCTTCTACATCATATCACATAAAACGCACCCACTACAAAACACTACTACAAACATATCCACTAGGAAAAAAGGAATAATATTAAAGTGAGTTCAAAGAAAAGATTATTTTGAATCCACTAAGACTTTGATTTTCATGGATATATACTTACCTAGCACCTAGCAGTCATATCTTATAAAGCACGTTTCCTATAAAGACTTCACACAGGTTAAATTGCATCCAGCCCAAACTTCATCCAACAGGACAGACATTAATAAAATAGTGGTGCAGAATTGTCTCAAAGGTGTAACTATTACACATTGGCAAACCCTAACACACCGGGCAACAGACTGGTTGACTCAACAACAGCTTTGAAACTCAATATTCTGTTGATACAATTATCATCTCCATGCAAATTAATTAGTTTTAATAATGTCTAGTCTAAAACTCCCTCCATAGAATTCAAATGATTTAAAAGTTCAGAGAACAACTAACATGCCCTAACTTCTACTGCAAACAAACATGCTGTTATCAATGATATGACAATTCTTCCCATCTTCTACATTCATACTCAACATTTCCTAATCCATCTTTCCCCTCTACCCTTAGAAATCCTGTCTGTCATCAACTACCATTAATTCTTCCTCTGAAATGTCTCCTGTACGAATTCCTTATACCAGTCTCTGCTAGCACCAATTCATCTTTACAGCTGTCATTTTAATCTCCCCCAAATGTCTTGTAATCTTTTGTATCTGAGTTCAATAGAGTGTAATCACACTTTAGAATTAAGTCTCAATTCCTGAGCTGGGCATTCAAGGGCTCCAACATTTAATTCCACCAGTAAAATTTCCAGGTTTCTCTCCCATTGCCAGTAAACATGAATATTCCTCTTCAACCCAAGTATAGTCACGGGAGCCCAAGTGCCACAAATGCTTCCTCACCTCAGCACTACTGCTCCTACCACAAAGCCCTTCTGCTCACCATTCTGCTATCCAAAGAAAATTCATAATAAACACTGGAAGGAAATTATATCGAATGTCTGCATGTGGTACTATTAATCTACATCACTGCTTTCTATTGTTACGTACAGAGAGAGTTCTAAGTCATTTTGTTGTACTCATCTTGGCTTAGAAATATGGAAAATGAGGATCCTGAGAAATTTTAATATATTTGGTTTAAGATGTAATATTTCCATTAAAGAAAAAAATATAAGTTTAGACTCATCAGTAGAAACTTTCTTATAGTTTTATAGTGTTACTAATACTTGCTTCATGAAAAATAAAATTGAGTGGACAATATAGGTACTGTAAGTTTCTTTGGCAAGGAGAATTCTGTCTCACATATTTCAATTTCCCATGACCCTTTCCCAGAAGTCTTGAATTTTATAAATATACAACAAGATCTACCACTCCGCTGACTGCCTGACTCACTGTAAGTAAATAGATAAATATTATCTTTAATTTTAAACATTCAGAAATAAAGTAAAACATACTCAAAATAATGAAAGAAACAACGTCAGAGTCAAAAACAATAAGCTTCAGCAGCACAGTGAAAATCTACTCTTGTTAATACCGGAAAATAATAACATTCATCTCTAAACCCCTATGAAGATTGAATGAGATTATCTAAGAGAATGCATAGTAGGAAATGAAGATATTAACAGTCTCATTTAGAAATAAAGAAACTTAGTGACTACATATTGATACAAAGAGCAATAACCAGAAACAGGTAAAACTTTTCAAGCAAACTATTTTTGAAATGAAGTCAAAATACTAATATGAATGGCTTTTGTTGCTTTTCCTCTTAAGAACATACATATTAGCCGAAACCGGTTTGGCTCAGTGGATAGAGCGTCGGCCTGCGGACTGAAAGGTCCCAGGTTCGATTCCGGTCAAGGGCATGTACCTGGGTTGCGGGCACATCCCCAGTGGGAGATGTGCAGGAGGCAGCTGATCGATGTTTCTCTCCCATCGATGTTTCTAACTATCTATCTCTCTCCCTTCCTCTCTGTAAAAAATCAATAAAATATATATTTAAAAAAAAAAGAACATACATATTAATTGTAAATGTTAAGTTCAGATTTAAAGAGAATTATCAGGAGTCTGTATACATTGAATTTTTCTGTGTTCACTATCCTAAGATTTATTATACAGAATCATGATTATTTTGTTCCTGTCTCCAGGAAGTCAAATTCATGATCTCCATTATTTATACTGAAAACCAATCATCTAATTTAAATATAAAAATATTTTTTAAAATAAGCAACTTTCTAAGACACAAAATAGTAAGTTAGAATTTGAATTATAGAATTAGAAATTTCATATAAACAAAATATAAGATTAAAAAATAAGAAGGTAATACTTAACAAACACCTAAAGTATTACTGTACTATATGTTTTTGTGACATGCAGCATGACTAATTTTTTAATTGCTTTTATGTACAAAGGAAGGCTTTGAAGGTATGCAAATTACTCTGCTTTTCAATATATTTACAACAATCAAAATGATAATTAGGAAAGAACAAAGAGAAAAAATACCTTAAAAAACAACAAAGTAAGCCTCTTGATGTACCTGTTAAGGTTGTTATATGGTTGTTAAATGGGTGTTATGAGTTCAATTGTGTCCCCCTGCAAAGGTATGTTAAAATGCAAACCCTCCAGTCTATCAGAATGTGACCTTATTTGGAAATAGGGTTATGACCGAAGTAATTACTTATGGTCATATTGGTGTATGAAGATGCAGTTACTCAGGAAAGATGTGTGGAGGATCCTCTTATCTGATGGCGTGGGCACCCATGAGTTATACAGCAGACCAAAACAGTTTTTAAAAATTTTTCAGAAATGCTGCCAGCCTGGACTCAAAGGGACAGAGGAAGCATGAAATGAAGGAAAATGACTCTAATGGCAAAGCCACAATGAAGAAGACTGAGCCTCAGGCTCTCATCAGGCTTTACAGAGCACATAGAGATAGCCAACAGATATATGAGGAGCTGCTCAACATCACTAGTCCTGAGGGAAATGCAAATTAAAACCACAACGGGGAATAGCAACACTGATCAGAATGGCCATCATCAACAAATCCAACAAACTACAAGTGTTGGTGAGGATGTGGGGAAAAGGGAATCCTTGTGGGGTTGACAACTGATGCAGCCACTATGGAAAACAGTACAGAGATTACTCAAATAATTAAAAACAGAGCTTCCATATGACCCAGCAATTCAACTTCTGGATATTTATTTTATATATATATTACTTTGAAAAGATATGTGCATACCTATGTTCAATGCAACATTATTTTCAATAGCCAAAATATGGAAGCAACCTAGGTGTACACTTATAGGTAAATGAATAAAGAAGATGCGATATGAAGATGGAGTAGGTTTATACTACATCATACCAAACGTATAGAAGAGAAAGGCCCCGCTCTTTGGGAAATTGCCATACTGTTAACTCACACTAAATTTATAGATGTCCAGGAATCTGAAAACTTACTCTGCTATACTAAGCATAGTTATTTCTGGTTCCAAATATAATTGAGGGACAATATTTTGCAATATGCACTCAATAAACTAGTCTTTCTGATCAGTATTTTCTAGCATTATGTTCCAACGAAGAAGCCACTCAACTTTTAAGGAGTTTAATCAATTATTTTATGAGAAACATGGCCTAATTTAGAGTTGTTAAATAAAACAAATTTAGAAAATAGATAATTATACAGTTAGTAAATCCAGCATCTATTGATATTAACCTACTTATAGAAATACCTAACCTAATGAGATATTACAAAAATTGATAAATTTTTTCTTTGCATGTTCACCAGACAACAAAAAAAGTATTTAATATGTGAATTAACTACAAAAAATACAAAGGGATCAATTTATATTGGAATTCCTCTAAATAAATTCCAAAAGGTGAGTACTAGTAAAATATTCTACTTCTGTAGCCCATTCATTCTTTTATCATAAAATTTTCATTGCCAGTTACAAACTCGAACTGAATTTCACCCTCTTTGGAGTACTCCCAACGGACTAGTAATTTCTTAAATTATTATAATTACTTTGACAATATATAATTACTTTGACACAGCTCACATTCAAATCTAGAACAACTCCCATACTCTTATGTACTCCACTGAGGAAATTCCAAAACCAAACCATATTCAATACTATTTTCTAGCATTATGTTCCAACGAAGAAGCCACTCAACTTTTAAGGAGTTTAATCAATTATTTTATGAGAAACATGGCCTAATTTAGAGTTGTTA